CACACACACACACACACACACACACTTGTGTAGTGAAAAATCCATTCAGTTCTGCTGGCTCTGGTGTTAGAGAAATGTGAGGCAACCTCTTCAAGGGCGCCAGGGTTAATTTGCCTCCAAGATATTCTATTCTCAGTATCCTAAAGTCAAAGGTGTTTGCTCAGACCCCTCCCTGCAAAGGTAATTATCACCTCATTCATGCCTGGCCAGGTCAGTCTGTTTGCTCTTTCAGTGATGACTGGAACTATCAACATTCTGCAGGACCTGGTCTGGTCTGGAAGAAGAGATGTGTTTTATTTTAATGGTCTCTGATCTAGGTGGGTGTATTTATTCACCAGGTATGTCTTCCAGTATGGTGTGGGGACAACTGGGGGTGGTGGTGTATGTTCTGAGAGACCCTTTTCAGGGGTCCATGAAGTCAGAACTATTTTCTTAATGTAACCAATCCGAGTACATGGGTTCATTGCCTGTCACACAACTGAAAATCCAAACCCAGAGGCTGTGGCCTTTTGCAGAGAGGATTTGTGAGGCAGTTACCACAGACTCAAATGGTCCACTTGCTTGTGGGCACTCACCCAAGTAAGATACAAACAGGAGATTGCAGCAAAGAATAAAGGTTTATTTAAGGAATTGGTGCCAAGCCCAGAGCTAGTGCTCTCAAAAACCCTGCTCCCCGATAGCCTCTAGTGGCTAGGTTATACAACACAAAAATAATTAATCATGGTTATTATGGAAGTTGTGGTAGAGAACTCTATTGATTGGTTGGGGCTAAGACAGGGAGCAATTGATCACAGCTTCAGGTCCTGGTGTCAGTCATGGCATTGTCCTGTCTGGTTTCCAGGGGATGTGGTCCGTTGGGCTGTTTTCATGAGTCCGGAGCTGAAACATAAGTAAGGCCAAGCTGTTATCCTTTTTTGACTAAAACCTTATTCTAGTTTGAGGTTTGATTATTGTATCATGGTCATGGTTAATAGACCTGAAGCTTTATTCTTAAGTGAGTTTGATGCTGATCAGAACCGAATGTCCTAAGGGCTTAGTGATTAAAAGGAGCAGACATACAGTATATGTACAGGTAGAAAAATCTGGTGGAAAGAATGCAAGTGAGTCATAGCTCCATCAGGCTAAACAAAGCTAGCTTGGATTAAAGCAAAATGTATGCTAAAGAAATGAAGTCCTTGTGTGGTTACAGCAGCCACACAAGAAGACCAGAGGCAAGGCGCATATCAGTATCCCCCACTAGCGAACTATTAGTTATTTTTATGGTGGAGAGGAAGGGGTGGGGTAGGTTTAGATGATTGGGTAGATCCTTTAAGGAA